TAAATATAATTAATCATTGGGCAATCAATAAATCCATCTGATGGCACCATAATATATATGATATATATGATATATTAAATGATTTATTCATTAATCAAATACTGGACTTGCACATTCAATCATTCATGCTTCAGCTGTTCATCCACAATTCATTTGTTCAGCTTGTTAATTACAATAAATAATTTTGTGAACTAAAATTTTGATGATTTTTTTAATGATTTATCATGATTAATCTTTATTGAATAGGATGGCTTTCAGGGAACAGCTTGTGARATTTGCACCAACTCGACAATGTTTGGTCCTGGATGCAATCGAAGTAAGGTTTATAATTGCTTTATTATCAGGCAGTTTTCACATGATTAAATGATTATGTTCTTTTCTTCTTCAGCATGCACTTGTGACATAATAAGAGGTGTTTGTGACAACAGTCTCAACAGCACTGGAGACTGCAAACCATATTCCTGTCAYACTGGATATGTTGGGGCCAACTGCGAAACAAGTAAGCCATTTATCACTTTTAAAAATGTCTCTTGCACCCAATACAAGAACCTTTGCAATGATTTGTTTTGAAAAAAAGATCTGTTACAAGTTGAAGGTTGTGTTCTGATTGTCTTGTAAGATATTTCCTGCAACTATTGTTAAGGAATTGCTTTCTGAYTGGCTCAAAAGCTACATCCTGCAACCATGATCATGATATTCGTCTCCCAAAAAGAATTACACAACAAGATAGTAACAACACTTTTGGCAATAAATTATATTTTGATCCCCGCACTTTAGTATCCACACAACTACATGTATGGGCTATTTACAAAATCAGCATTCTGATTGGCTATGGTTGTTCATGTCATGCCATGGTTTTATTTAAAAGCTAAAATATTCAAAAATATGATGGGAAAATTGTTCTTTATGGTCTTTTTCAAAGTTGTCCAGTCTTGTGAACTACAAGACAGTACCGTATTTACCCATGTACAAGCCGCTCTCGTAGATAAGCCGCACCTCGAGTTTTAGGTACGTTTTTGAGGRAAAAAAAAGACGGAAAATGAACTKTTCTCTTTTTTATTGCCACTTGGTATATAGCTTAATGGACTATCAATCAACTTGTATATAGTCAATTCACCTTGCGGTCTACTTGTTTTAATTAAAATTGTTCCTCATGATTTAGGATCATTTTTCATTTTTCCATAGTATGAGAAAATACCCAYAAGTRCAGAAAGGTTTATGGAGGCCTATGRGSTGTTACATTTGGGTCATGGTTTATTATGATATCATGTTATTATTTCCAGGGCTTCCAGCCTGCAATAAAGATGTTCACTTGTCCTGTGCT